AGTTGTATCCCACCTCGAATATATCCCCAAAAAAGTTCCGTCCCAAAGTGGGGATATAAACGAGGTATGACTGTATTTTGTGAGTAAAAACCATGATAAGAAATATTTTCTCGTTAAGGGAATGATAGACATTACATACCATACCAATTATTTAGGATAGCTTTATTTCAAAGAATATAGGACAGAATTTGAAAAGGTGCTACTATAACTATATATATATACTAATACTATATATAGTAATAGTTGATTATACTCGGAGGATATTTGCCCTTCATTCTCTACAAGATAACTCAATGCCTCTTTCTCAGTTAACAGTAATAGGGAATTAGAGGTGTGAAGGATGAGCTCAAGATTCAAAATTTAAATGGCAGTTGATACTGTTCACAATGTTGTAACATGTACATGCCTTCATATTCAGTTGACTCTGTTGTAGTTGATATTGGTAAAAATGCTTGACCCTAGCATCATTTGATTGGTAATTTCAAAAAAATAAAATGACTTTTGGGGTCTTCTTGAGATTACCCTTAAAGCTTCATGTACTCTTCTATTATTATTGTCAAACACTACCCTAAATTTAGCCCATTTTAAGAAAACAAAAAGAAGTCTAAAATTTACCCCCAAAAATTTGAAATTTTTATATCAAAACAAAAAAAAGTCATTTTAATTGAATTTCGCTTTAATCTGTTGCATAATTAGCTTCCATGATACAATCTAAGGGTGTTGGTAGTGTAGAATATAGTATACAGAATGTGATTTTAATTGATGTTTTAATGTCAAAAGTTGAATGGAGAGAAGAGACAAACAATCACTATGCAATATATTTAACATTGGTTTTTTACCACACCTTCATATTAATGTTTAAAATTTTTTGGTTTGTCTTTTTGAGCACTACATAGCGGCATACTTAAATATTGAAAGTAAAGTTTTTCAAACAGTTTTCCCTGTCGAAGACAAAACCCTGGGTTGCTCCAGAGTACTATATTGCAAAAACTTGAGTGCACGAGATAAGTGTAGACACAAGCTTATTCGTGATAACGATTCGGCTTAGGACAGGTTTGCAAAGTCGTGAGTGTTTCGCTGCAAAATGCATTCAACGTGACATATTGTCCCGACTGGCAGATACAGCAAAAGAAAGCAGACTTCAGCCACCCACTAGGAACTAATACTCAGTTCAAATGTAGAAAACGCACAAATAAAAAATATACACAGTTATTAACAAATACTATTAACAAATAAATGTGTATGTTAATAACCGTATATTAATACGTTTGCTTCCTTCCAAATATAGATACTAATACCCGAATTGTTCTCATTTGTAGTGTGATCGTCTTTTCCAGCATATTGGCTCCCTATAGTTATCCATAGTGCGATCGCCTCTTTTCCAGAGAGTTCATCATATTTCCTAATACATTTACTGCCTTTTCAAGCCGCAGGATTAAATCTCCTTGAAAACGTGGAAGTTTTTAGATTGAGAGAAAACGGTTATATTATTTTTGAGGAACTTTAAACGGCTCTAAGTAATGGTGGTGGCAATCCTACTAGATCAGAACTATTGACCCATCATTGCGACTCGCACATTTCTTTACACATGGGCTATGCCTCCGCTTCCTAAGTGAAAACGGCGTATCGTTTGTCTTTGCAGGTAAGAGCTCAGCGTGCAAACAAATATTTGCAATCCTACTCGGAGGGAATAAAGGAAAGCGGTTTTATTTATCGCTTACTTGTCATGACTATTATAAATAAAATTTTGTTTCTGGCATCTCGTTCCCGGGCTCAAAGCTCGCTTCAGCACTCGGTCCCAGGATGTTGCATTTCTAGGATGTCACAAACTTATTTTCCGAGCGAATTCATTTTGTGGGCCTATTGCTAAATGGCATACTTGTAATGGTCGAGTTAGTAATTAATTACTAATAAAATTCAGTATACCAAACCACTTTGTGTCTACGAAGAATCTGCTCACAATGCGATTCTTTTTTATTGAGACAATAGCGTAATGATCTAAATTGATTGCTTTCCATAATAATAATATTGCCCTCTATTATTTCTGCGTAATGATGTAAATTGATTGCTTTCCATAATAATAATATTGCCCTCTATTATTCCTCTTCCAATGATTTGTATACTCAAAGCTTGAAGGATTTTTGCTGATTAATTAGTAAACTATATATGGCTATGCTTAATAAGGGACACACTAAATTAGTACCATATGAAAAGTCCTTTTTTACCAAACGTTTCTATGTATAACTTTGAAGCTAATTGGTTTACTTGAAAATTTAAAATAGTATGTTACACGTATGAGAATTAGGCGTAAAGGGTTTTATTAAGAGAGACAATACTATTGCTCGCGGACGGCTTGATTACAGTAAGTTGATGGCCAACTATATCATAACATTATCACGATAGATATGAGAGAGGTTCCTATTCACGAGAGTTTGTGTTTCTCAATTGACATACAGCCGAGCTTGGCGAAGGAATTGAGTTTTAGTTTGCGGTTATAAGTCATGTGAAATTCTCGGGTGACATTAAAGCAGGAGTAGTCGCAGAATGAATGCTTTTTTGCAACACGACTTTGTTCATTGTCGCACTTAAGATGGATACTTTACTGTGCCATATGGAAAGCGCTTTCACTTTTTCAAATAAAAACCAGCTTACTGTAGATCAGTAAGTTAGTCCTGTCATTAATATTTACTTTTTCTAAAATAACAATGACCTTCAACATCTTTCCGCACTCGTTTCGCCTCCCGGCTCTCACTTCAGTATTATTCCTTCTCTTCTTCCTTTCCATTCCTTCTCTCATATCTGCCGCTGGAGCATGCGATAACTGCGGACAGACGGTCACCTTGATCGCACCATGCCTTAATTTCTCGGGAAGTGCGGACTATCAAAACAAAGAGCTTACGGCAAACACAAAGTTTATAGACCCACAGTTGGCAAATTGCCAGTGTACGCAATCGTATTTGACCGCTTACCAAAGGTGAGAAGAGTATGTGGAGAGGTGTAGCAGGAAAAGTGAAGCGATTATTGGACGAGTGGCACACAATTGAGTATCCAACTCAATGAGGATTCCAGAACTACTGCGATTACTGAATTAATTGAGTCTTATTCTAACCATTTCTCATTTCTTGATAGTTGTCTGGACTGTTTCACTTCGAAAGGACTATCGACATCAAACATTCTATCAGTGGGCAGTGAGTGAACTATCATCTTCATTTGTCTAGTTGGGGTTTAAACTTTTGTCTTCATTCTTGTCAGATTTATTAAACTATTCTACTCGTTTCCGTTCTTTCTTATTTGCTCTTTCAAACTCGATCTTTTCTGACAGACATACAAAGTGATTGCGACCAATTAGGAATTTCAAATGCTGGCGGTAATGCGAATAATAATTCTCCGGGTGGTTCGGGCGGTTCGGGTGGTTCTTCTCCAACCAAGTCCGCGGCTGGTTTGCGATTGAATGATCCGTCAATGATTTACACTACATTAATGAGTACTGTTATAATCATTGGTATTCTGTCGCAACGGCTAATATAGAATGAAAATGGTTGTTCATGTTGAGAATTATATGAGCGTTTTCGCTATGACCGCTAGACTGGTAAATAGAATGTGTTGCCTACCGGGAAATACTATTAATTTATATTCATAAAAGCATCTTGCGAATAGTCACATTAATATCTATATCCGATAAAGATGACAATAAACATAAAGACCATATATTAATATTACTCCAACAGAGTATTAAGTTTTGATTTAAACTCGAATCCTATTACTATATTAGCATTTTCGAACCACTATAATTAAAGCAGTTTCAATGTATGACTATACTTCTTTGGACGAAGACCTCACAAGATTTTTATATCCGGAAGAATGGTAATAGTAAGACACGATATGTGAATTAATTAAACCTTTCCGTTATTAGACAATGCAAGCCCTACTCTCAAAACACAACTCAATTCTAATTCTACATCACCTTTTTTAACAATCTACATACTTTTCATTTTTTTTTTACTATTTCATTCCAAAGCTTTATGGACTGTCTTTTGATTTGGCTGGTATTTATCAGTAATATTGGTTTCAAGGTTTAAAATTTCGTCCCTTAATTTTTTTTGGTGCAGTGGAAATCCAATTTGATAAATTGATTAGACATGTGATAGTGCTGTAGCTGAAGGACAGAATAAAAAAAAAGCCACCATAATTTGTAAAAATATTGATTGATTAAAAACTCGATAGTAATAGGAAGACGATAGCATATTGTGTAGATTACATGTTAAAGTTGTGAAAGTCGAGTCACAGCTGGACATGATAATTTTATTATGGCAATGGAAACGGAATTTTCTTTAAAGGGCTTGCTTTTTTTTTGAAGCAGCTAATCCTGGTATTATCAAAGCTCAAACTGTTACTGATGGTGCTTTTACCGAATTTAATTTATTAAAGACAGAAAGCCAGTGTTCCGAAATTACCAAAGAAATAAAACTTTTTCATTCTAGATAATCTCCTTGTATTCTGAAAGACAAGAATATCTTTATAACAATACTCTTCCATTTAATTTGTTAGAGATGAAAAACGTTACTTGTCTATGATCAACTGATATTGCGCAATAAATAGATTAAGATCGTCTACTACGTTATTTCAACACTACGTGTTCGTGTAACATGTGTCAGATCCGACGATTACCACGATAATAATCTTCCGTGATTTCCGCCGATGAACAAAGAGATCGACCGATTAGGTAGTACTATAAATAGAAGTTCTGAAATTTAGAAGAATAATCCAAATTAGGATCATTAGGATTATCAATTCGCAATTAGTGTCACATAGTTACTTAATGTGACCAGAACTTCTGAAATGTGACGTAGTACTTAATATTACTTAATGTGGCCGAAACTTCTGAAAACTTAGATATATAAGAGCAGCGTAGGCGACGGGAAAAATCATCGTTCAATCCATCGATCATATCTTCAGCTGGAAAACTCCAATTTGATCTTAAAAATCCTTGCAGTAGAATAGTTCTTTATATCTAATAAACCGTGTTAAAACGAATATATTTTATTTTATCATTTCGTGTTAAATAATTCTCGTATATAAGATCTGACGCCGCGTAGTCTCGTAACTACCGAGATACAAAACGTATTCT